CAAGTGAAAGACTTTTAGCTCTTCATTTTGTTCTAAGTTTCGATAAAAAGTAAAGTCTTTGTGAAAGTATTCGCTCATTTTCCCTGCAAAGAGAAGCGGGTTGACAAGACTCAGGTCCCACTTGGGCTCTAAACTGCAGAGTAATCTTTGATTACTCTGCAGTTGATTAGACCACAAAATAAGTCATGTTTTGATCATCTCTTAGTAATTTTCTCACGTGGTACCCAACCAGACAACGAGCGAGGATAGGGTAGTTGGATTCAGGATTGTTGAAGGGGGGAGTTTGGTCAAAGAGTGAAGGGGGGAATTAGGTCATGATGGGGGCAAAGAAGGTGGTCAGGTCATGGCGGAGGAGATAGGTCACTAAGGGGTGGATGAAAGGTCAAGGTGGCCAAGTTACCTCCACGTGCTAACGACGTCTGACCACCGCTATTTGACCGTACCTCTCAGGGAACCTTTACCTGACGCTTCCGTGTAGTTGAAAGGGAGATGGAGCTCGTTTATTCTCACATATTCTGATATTTACAGGTAACTGATATTCACGCTCTCAGAAACAGCTGCTCAGAATTACTCTCAGATGACTAAAGAAACAAAGGTCACAGAGTCATCACGTGTCACCTACAGTACAGTTCATTGATAATATTGTTGCGGTACCAAATTAATTCTAGAGAACATAGTATGACCGCCACTACTATAAACACAACCCAGCACAAAGGAATGTGTGTGCCAGATCTGAAGCGGTCGATCGAAACACTGTGTCGTCTGAACATGATACTCCTTCACTTCACTCCTCGAATCCCCCAAAATGCGAACGAATACTGAAAAAAAAAATGGGTGTACAGTCGACCCAAGTATTAGAACTAGTGTATGTTGACCTAAGTCTCAAGGCTGTTGAAACTAAAAAAAAATGAAAGAATCCCCACGAGAAAAGACTTAAATAGTGTCTTAAGTGTGTTGTACAGTCAGGGTCAAAAGCTGGACCTTAAATAAGATAAAACAGTACAGTCGCATCAGACGACAGTCAGAGTATACAAGTTCGGAGACTCACTCCCGTGATACAGTTTTACTGCATCACACGAACTTTTGACCCTAACTGTATTGTACATAATAATCTATGTCCATGGGGGCTTTAGCTGGAGTGTTTCTGCAAGTTATAACTTCGAAAAGTTGGCTTCATATCCAACTATCTTAATACATTAAATCTTTCCCTCCACTATCCAGCGTTGTATTTTTTTAGCTTAGTGTACAAGCTGTTGGAGATTCTTTTTCGTCTCCTCCTCTCCTGACCTCCTTCTCTTCTTCTTTCAACATCCTATTGAGCTCCTTGCCCTCATCTCATCTTCCCCTTGCCTGAGGTTATTCACCGTCTCCCTCCCTCCTCGCCTTAACCCCTTTTCTTCCCTCCCTCCCTCCCTCCCCCCTTTCTTACCCTCCCATATCTTCCCTCCCTCCTTCTCCTATCCCCTTACATCTTCCTTCCCTCCCACTCATTCTTTCCACCTTCTCTGTCTAGTACTCATGGCATTACCCTTTCCCTCCCTCTCACCCCTTCCTCTAAGCAGGACCCAAGCAGTGGTCACACGTCGTGTCGAGTTGTTTAATGTCGTCTGTCGCTTTTTTTACGTCCTGACCATTTGATGAAGACGTGACCGGCCATCGTTGAGGCTCTTTGAGAGTCAACCCTCTCTCTCTCTCTCTCTCTCTCTCTCTCTCTCTCTCTCTCTCTCTCTATTTTTTTCACGTCATGACATATTGTTACCGAGGTTCATATCCTTATTATCCATCCCTGGGCCGACACATCTTTTTGCAGAGAGGAAGAACGTTTGTGTGTAAGAATCTGGTGATAAGAGTAATATGTAGAGGCACAGGAGGAAACTCGTGTATGTATGTATGTATATATGTATGTATGTATGTATGTATGTACCTGTATGTTCTCAGGGTTGTGTCGGTGGTGTTGGGCAATAGCTTGGTACAGTGTGTTCGGCCACCACAAAGAGGAAATGTTTGCTGCGGTATAATCTGCATTTACATAGTTTCTCTTCGTTAATTTTGTCTAATTAGTGCTAAGTGAAAACACCAAGTTTAAGGTGAAGTCTCAGTGAAGTTTTGTTGCCATTTTGAACGTTGTTGTTGTGTAGCTCAAGATATGGCAGGTGGGTGCATTCTTAATTCTTACATCACCATTTATGAGGCAAAATTCCACACACAATCCTTGGAGTGAGAGTATCCGGGTCCCATGACTGGCTCACCCACCTACCATCATTACTACACCATGACGCTGTATGTTTCATCCTCCCTGTGTCTTCGTGTTATTGTAATATATAATTGACAATAATAACAATACCGACGAGTTTTATTCGATAAGATTACACGTGGGGTTTTAATATATTGCATCAAGCTCAATATTCTCTTCGATAATATTGTAGGCGATGCATTAATGTATATCCAGTCTCAGTTGTCTCATTGCAAGTGACTGTGGAAGGGACGGTCCATGTGGATATATAACGCCGTGCTAGGAAAAGGTATTAATATTATGGTAATTTTAATGTACGATACAGTAGTAAGTTGGTGACGATTGTGTCTAGCTTTACCGGTACAGTTTATGGATCACGGTAAGATTAACCCATAACTTATTTCACCTTAAAATTAACTAACGTAACCTAATCTTCCCTCCAGGTAGCGTTAAGGTGTTTATTCTTAATGTGAAATTAGGTAAGGGGGGAGGGGGTCTTGAAGTGGGGAGGGTCTTAAAGTGGGGGGAGGGGGTCTTAAATTAAGGGGGTCTTAAAGGTCTAAGGTGGGGGGAGGGGGTCTTAAAGTGGTCCAAAAATAATATTAAGAGAATGAACACATTATTAAGAGGAGATTTAGTTAAGTAGTAAATAATGATATAGTAATTTACAAAGTAGAGTTGAAGGTCTCTTAAGTAGACGGGTGAGAACTAAGTGCGGCACAGGGTAATCTTTTAACCTAACTGTATATATTTATTTGTATTAGCATAAATTTACCCAAAACCCCAACTGGTAGTGTGAGGATTGTGTTGACGTGGGGAGCAGGTTTTGGTGGTACCTGGGTGTGATTATTAATGTGTTCTGGTGATGACAGGCAGCAGCAGGTCCTGGGTGGTCTTGATTTTTTTTGTGTGTGGGGGGGCTGCGGTTTGCCCTCGGATACCGGTTTTTGCTGCCTGTTTTGGGAGTTTATTTTTTGTTTTCCCATCTGTGGTGTATCTGGTCGTGTGCTACTGTAGCCTTGTGGTTTTTGGTAGTTGTTATTCTTGTGTTTTTTTTTTTTTTATCATGCCGTCTCCACACCAGCCATCATGATAATTGATGACTGTTGGTTGATCTGAGAGGAATCGTCCGTGTGACCGCTATAGAGCCGTGCCATACACAATCATGTTTTTCTTTTACTCTTTACACATATATTTATTGTTTTATGGAGAAATTTACTTCATTACACATCTACCTTTTCAGAAGTACACAAACTCACAAATTAATGAGAAGGTTGGATGATTTAGATGAGGGATTTTGTTTGTTTGTTTCGTTTTCTGTTTTATGGTAAAAGTTCTCGCGAGCGCTGCCACACAAACAAGGTATTCCACCAGAGTACAAGTTCCCTCAGGCTCCTCAAAGTACTCCCACAAAAGAAGTTAGAAAGTAATGAGAAAAGTTTGTGGATTGAATTAATTTGATATTGATAAAGTGTTCATATAAGATGTTGGTTAAATAAATACCGGTATGTATGAGGTGTCTTCAGTGTACAGGATGTGATAGAAACGTATATGTTGTCTTAAATGACGTAATAGTGTACTGTACGTCTCGGTACCTTGTTGTTTGTGTACATTACAACTCTCTTAAATACGGGTTGTGTTTCGTTGTTCCAGTACGACTGATAACAGTGACCCTTATATAACCTGGTTGAAGAATTGATAAGTGTTGACATTGTTGGCTAATGTTCAGAGTGGATCACGTGAGCATTAGGCAACCCGTTTTTATTTATTTTTCGCTTGATTAAACACCCTAACTTAACCTAACCTAACCTAACCTAACCTAACTTAACCTAACCTAACCTAACCTAATCTCCAGGTGTATGATCCTTAAAGAGACGTTATCTGTTAAGGTTCCCGCCAAGACGACTGGTTTTGGTACAGTTCCTGTTTCTTGAAGACTTTTGAAAGTATAAAAAAAAAACCTCTGGCAATGAAGGAGTGTTGTGGTAGAGGAGGTGGTGGTGATAATAGCCGTGTCAGACCACTTAGTATAATGGCTGCAGTGTGTTGACCGCTTCACTGCAAATTGAACCTTCTTCCTCCTTCCCCCTCCTCCTCCTCCTTCGTGTAAATTGATCAGTGTCTCCCCAGCGGGTTTAGGTCGCCTGTCTGGCTATCTCCTGAAAACCATTATCGAGACAGGTTTTATTATCGTGTGTAGTGGTGGTTTACCTGGAGGTGTGTTAGTGTGTCATTACCTGCAGCTACTTACCGCTACTCTGGTCTTATCCTCTCAAGGCTCGGATTCTGATTGCCTTGAGACTCGTGCCTTGAAATTTTCCATTAGCTGGTGTCGTACGTGTGTGTGTGTGTGTGTGTGTGTGTGTGTGTCAGATTACTTCTCCTCTAATGGTGGAGTGTTAGTGTGTCATTACCGCTTTAACTTCGTACTAACTGGAGCACACAGGTTGATAGTCTGAGTCAGAAGTCACAAAAGCCAGTGTATTAAGTTTCCCTTTGACTGTGAATGTAATCGAGATACCGGTATATAAATAGTTTTGTAAAGAAGTGTTTGATCACCGGGATATTAGACATTCCAGTTTATTTCATCTGATTATAAATCCCTGAATACTATCTTGGTGGGTTAGGTTAGGCTAATGTGGATATTTTAATGTTGAATAATTTTGGGGTCTAATCTTCATGTGATACTTTGTTTTGTAAAATGTTTTATAAAGTGATTGGCAAAGGTTGGTTGTTTTAATGTACTAAAGTATCGTTGTTGTTTCAGTGGTGGTGAACGTAGACAACCAGCCCATCAGACTGCAACTGTGCGACACTGCTGGACAGGTGAGTCATCCTGCTCTCTATCCCGCTCGCCCCACCTCTCTTACAGCTTCTGAGTGCCCCACCCTATGATTGTCCCAGTGTTCCGCTCCCCTCACTGCCCAAACCCCCCTTCTTGTCCGAACTTGCCAGGTAACTACTAGAAACACGTATCCTCCGTCGCCTTCAAAGACATCAGGTAAAGTGTAAATGGTATGAGTTTCCAAGAGGCCTTTCCTCCTCTCCCACAGTTCCAATACTTCCACGCTGCTCACACTAACTTTGGCAAGTTTACTTTTTTCCTGCTGCTCTGAATATCCCGAAATCCTTTGGCAAAGTTCGACATGGGGTTTTTCTTGATAAACTAAACTTCCTTCGTGTGGCTCTGTTGCTTCTCTCTCACCTCCTGCTTTCTCCCGTTTCAGTGCAAGCTTAGTATTAGCACACACACACACACACACACACACACCTTTCCTGTTGGTAAGTTGAGGACTCCCTTCTCGCCCCAGCAGCCACTATGTGTGACTGTAATGAACTCCTGTCAATAGCAAGAACCTGCACTAAATTAACATTGTTGTTTATCACTGAAGTAGAAGGCCAGTTATCTTAAAGTTACGCGACGTCTTATATTTGCACGGTGTCAGATGAACAGATTCTGGAGATGGTGTCTAGAAGTACCTTTTAAAGATTGTGACAGACTTTCCATTAGTACTCACGTCTGCCTGAGTCTTCACGTACCCTCCTTCCTCCTCCTCCTCCTCCTCTTCCTCTTCTTCTGTCGGTGGAAAATAAGAGGCTGGTGCGGGGAGTGTGAGGCAGGCGGTGAATGGGGGAGTGTGAGGCAGGTGAAATGACGGCGGCAATGGCAAGGGAAACGAAAATCACGGCTGTTTTAGCATAGAAATGGTGGCTGTTGGGTGTGACACTGAACACCTTGACGCCATTTGAGTCTCTCCCTCCCCTCCTCTCCCTCCCCTCTTTCTCCCTCCCCTCCCCCCTCCCCTCCTCTCTCTCCCTCCCCTGTCCCCCTCCCCTCCTCTCTCTCCCCCATCCCTTCTACTCCCCTCGTTCCTCCCCTCCCCCCGCCCCTGCTACAGCATGGTGTCGGTCGTATCTTAACTCCTTCAGTTTTATGTGTTCTCAAGTCTCTGGTCAGGGTTAAAAAAAAGGTCAACCGACGAATCTTTTTAAGAATCGAAACCTTGAATCTTGGTTCCGGATTCACAAAGATTCAGTAACGTTAATTGAATCCTTTTAACTGGTATATACACTAAGAGAACATAAATTAGTTGAGGTAGAGCCTCGGTGTGTTTTTTGAAGCCATTTACGGTACTTATGTCAGGGTTCATTTATAAAGCAGCCAGGCAGGTAGGGAGGTTAAGTGTGAACCTCGGAGACATTTTTTTGGGGTTCACCTGAAGATTCGCCGCTTCCCATGCTTAATTAGTTCACCTAAATCACGTTTACATAACATAACAACAACATGACATGGCATAATATGATATAACCCAATCCCCAGGTAACGTTAAGGTGAGTAATCTTCAGGTGAAATATTTTACCGGGGGGGGGGTGAACAATGACCACCCCCCACCCACCCCTTGTTTTAGCTCTGTATCCTGAGGTGGTGAGAGGTGGGTAACGCAACACGCGCACTCAATTACTCGTTCACGCACTCACTCACTCAATTACTCGTTCACGCACTCACTCAATCACCACCGGGACTATTTCCTCCATTTGGCCATCGTTTACTACTCCAGCACTCGCCCAGGTGCTATCTACTGGTGCTAGTTTACAGAGAGAGAGAGAGAGAGAGAGTGTTTGCCTCAGGGTCTTTCGCTATACTTAACTGGGACTCACACCTCTTTGGCCTGTCTGTCTGTCTGTCTGTCTCTGTCAGATTCCTCCGTCAGTTCGTCTTATTTTGGTCATCTTTCTTTTTGTTTATTTGTTTGTATTTCTCCTTCTTCCCCTCTCTACCTGTTTGCTTTATCTCTGTCTGCCTCCCAGTTTACTTGACCTTCCTGTCTACTTTTCTGTCTACTTACCTACTCGTCTGCCTTTCTGTCTTCTTACCTGCGGCTCTGCCTTTCTGTCTACTTAGCTGCTTGTTTGCCTGTTTACCTTTCTGTTTACTTACCTGTCTGTCTACTTTCCTGCTTTTCTTCCTTTCTGTCTACTTACCTGCGTGTCTGCCTTTCTGTTTAATTACCTTCTTGTCTGCCTCCTGTCTTTCTGTTTACTTACCTACTTGTCTGCCTTTTTTGTCTACTTATCTACCTTCCTGTTTGCCTAATCCCCTGTCTACTTAACCTCCCATATCTGCCTTTTTGTCCACCTACCTATTTGTCTGTTTACCTGTGTGTGTGTGTGTGTGTGTGTGTGTGTGTGTGTGTGTCGCAACAAACATATTAAGTGACCTCCGTTGAGTAAATGTGATGGTTTCCGGGAGACCTTGACGCCCTCCCTGCCTCACTGAACACACACACACTCACTCACTCACTCACTGCTTACTTGCTTACTAACACACTGACTGGCTCACAAACTCACTGCTTACCAACACACACACTCACTCACATCTTACTAACACACTCACTCACTCACACACTCACAACTCACCGCCGCATCACACACCCTCTACCACCCAGAGAATATCCTTCCCACTTGTTTCCTCTCCGACAGATTACTGGGAACACATTTCAGTAATTAATCCTTGTGAGGGACGAGCGGTTAAGTGAGGGTTGTGTTGGCCAGTGGTGGAGATGGTACAGTGGGGGTGCCAGTGGTGGAGATGGTACAGTGGGGTGCCAGTGGTGGAGATGGTACAGTGGGGTGCTAGTGGTGGAGATGGTGCAGTGGGGGTGCCAGTGGTGGAGATGGTACAGTGGGGGTGCTAGTGGTGGAGATGGTACAGTGGGGGTGCCAGTGGTGGAGATGGTACAGTGGGGGTGCCAGTGGTGGAGATGGTACAGTGGGGGGGTGGTGGGGAGGGTTATGCCAGGGGTCATCAGGAGACTGGTGGAGGACGCTTCGTTAACCTGATGTCATTAATCAAACAACATTAACCACTGGTGGGACTCCTGCAGCGCCTCCTCCACTAGGTGCTTGTCGGCCACCCTCTCCCTGGGGCTGGTCTGGACTTGATTACTTTTTCTACCCTCGCGAAATATCACATCCTAGACCGAGGAGTTATTATTATTATTATTATTATTATTATTATTATTATTATTATTATTATTATTATTATTATTATTATTTGTAGTAGTAGTAGTAGTAATAATAATAATAATAATAATAATAATAATAATAATAATAATAATAATAATAATAATAACATGCTTCAGGAATTACATAGTATCAATAGAAGTAACAGTAGCAGTATCAACAGGAGTAACAGGAGCCGTAACAACAGCAGAAGCGAGGTCATTGGCGGAGCGTGACAATAGTCGCTAGCGTGACCACAGTGGCGCCGACCACACACACACACACACTGCCTCCACACAATGACCATACCAACCTGCTGTACAGTAGCTAAAACAACTATCTGTGCAGGTGGGGGTCGATATGCTCCGACATTTTACGTGTGACTAGTGACAGCCTCATATACCAATATTTATCGTCCATGGTCTCATATTGTTTCCCACAAAGTATGCACAGATAGTTGTTTTAGCCACTGTACATACACTACCAACCCCAGAACGGACAAAACCCCACTAAATGGAGACCTTATTAGGGTGTGTGAGAATACGTTATCAACATCAGTCTTGAATCTTGTAAGTGTCATAGGAGGAAGAGTTGTTTCCCTTTACAGTTGTCCTTTAATATGTAAACATGAATTTATACCATAATACCTTACATAAGTACCTTCCCATGACCTTCGACTTAATTGACCCGTGTGTGTGTGTGTGTGTGTGTGTGTGTGTGTGTGTGTGTGTGTGTGTGTGTGTGTGTGTTTGTGTGTGTGTGTGTGTGTGTGTGTGTGTGTGTGTGTGTGTGTGTGTGTGTGTGTGTGTCATACCTGGTTGAGCTTTGTTCAGTAATGTGTACAGATTATGGTGCTCAAAAAAGAATTTTCTCGGAATAATCTTTGTACCATACAATTATTCTCCGCCGTACGGTTGTGGGTGGCCTCTTGGACCCGGACTCTGAGAAACTCTTTAAGTTTATTTCATCCTCGTAATTAGGGAACAAGAGAACACTTCCAGGGACTTATTGGGGGTACAGTGCCGCCATGTTTGTGTTGGAGTGAAAACTTGGGTGTTCTTACGTCCAGACATAGAAGTAAATTTAGGGTGCGATATTTTAAAACCTCAGGCCTTGAACTTTGATGCTCCGCGAATTTTAGTGATATTTTACCCCCACTTGGAGATATGAGGACGCATTTAACTGACTGACTGACGTGAGCTACGACGTAAAAATGGCGATGATGACAATTGAAACAGTACTGAGGCTGTGGTACAAGTCGTTGTTATCCTCAGTGTCAGTCTGGGGTAAGACTGTTTGAGAATCTGGACCTTGGGATGGGGTCATTATGGGTAATGTGTTGTGGAGAGAGAGACTCCCCAAGTAGTAGTTGACCTTCAGTATGCAGATGACCGTCTCGTAAAAATATAGGAGTCTTAACTTACTGCAGACAGGCACCAGTTGCTCCTGGCCACGCTGGAACACAAGTTTGATTATGCAAATTGGTACATTCTTATACCGGTGTGTTCGCGGCCAGGCGTACGCTCATGCCATAAAAGAACGCCACCGCAGGCAACCCAACGTATGGCTGTCGTAGCTTCAAAAACAATATCCGTGTGTGGTGAAGAGGAACGCCAGGCGATACTGACTGCTCGTCCTGGCGCTCTTTATATGACAGTTCTGGTGGCGGGGCATCAGGACGGGGTGATCACTTTCGTACCCTTGACTGAACTGAGGGATAATCGAGACTATTTATGGAGGTACTCACTTGTTATGGCCTGATAGGTATTACTGTTGAGAACCACATGGGAGTATTCATGGCACGGAGGTCAACCCAAGCGAAG